CTGAAAACTCTTGAACGTGTTCCCAGTGTTGTTCAATATTTTTGCTATTTATCAGGATGTCATCAAGGTATGCGATCGTAAAATCCAGTCCGTCTAGCATAGTGTCCATTATTTGCTGAAATATCGCCGGCGCGACCTTGATCCCGAATGGTAATCTCTGGAACTGATATAATCCTTTATGTGTCTTTAGGCACAACAACCTCGAGCTTTCCTCATCTACTGGTACCTCTAGGTATGTTTCGCTCAAGTTTATTTTTGAGAAAAAATTTTCTCCGTTCAACTTTGTGAAAACTTCCTCTGGACTAGGGAGAGGGTAGCGATAATCCTTAATCTCTGCATTCAATCCCGTCGAGAAATCAGCGCATATTCGTATCTCACCCGATTTCTTTTTCACGTAAACCGTAGGTGCGGCCCATTGACTATATTCCACCTTTCTCAATATACCGGTTTTCACGACTCTATCCAACTCTTCGTCTATCTTTTCCAATGATGCAAAAGTTACATTTCTTTTCTTCTTGAAAATGGGTTGTATATTTTCTTTTAGTTCGATTTTTGCCGCCATTTTTTTACACCTCCAGAGGCCGGCTGAAAATACGTCGGGGAAACTCTCCTTTAATTTCTCCCTCAATTTTTCTGCCTCGGTCGATAGTCTTTCCACTTTTTGGCAGAACGCATTTATCGGCAAATCCCAGAGGTCAAATTTCTGCATCCAGTCAGTTCCAAATAAATTTTCCGCATTTTTTAGAACATATATGTTTAATTTTTTGATCATTCCGTTGAACGTCACATTTGTGATAATCTCCCCCTCAAATTTGATTTTTCTTCCTGTTACCGACCTGGATATTTTATCTGTTCTCATCATGGTCGGTTTTTTTAATTTCTTCCACGTCTGTAAGCTAATAATGGTTAAATCTGATCCGGAATCCAATTATAATCTGATTTTTTTGTTTAAACATTTCTACTTGTACGTATTTTCGTATATTTATCCCGTCCGCTTGATCAGTTCTAGAAGCTCTTACTTGGCTTTTGTTTTTTTCTTCGTTCTACAGTGCGAACTTTTATGTCCCACTTTATTGCACGACAGACAAGTCTTATAGCGGTATGGACAGTCTTTATACCAATGCAAAATCCCACAGCGATAAGATGGACTGGGTGGTGGTTTCTTCTGAGGTTTCATTTGACTTTTTGTAGTAAAATAATTGGTTTGGTTTGTTTTTGAGAAGGGAAAAAAAAAACGTGTTTGTCGTAACTTTCCTACGTGAGCGACGCCAGATTCTTCGATATCTTTCGAGACCTTTTTTACGCTTATACATCTCTGACAGTCCTCAGCTAATTTTTGTAGCCTCAATTCTGGTTCACTCTCAATTTTTGTTAGAATTCTCCGTCTGAATCTCTGCATCTTTAGTCGAAACCAGTCCTTGGACGAATATCAAACATTTAAAATTGTCAGAACTGAGTTCAGATCACTCAAAGTCATCGCAGTGTTTGTTTATTACAGAATCGAAAGTTACATAGTCTTCGCAATCCTTTTTTGTTAAATTTAAACATTTACACATTTTGTGGAATAGTGAAGTGTTCGGTCTAAATAATTCCGTTAAAAGTTTCGCGGCTCCCTGAAAATCAACTCATTCGTTTTCCTCGGTAGGATGTAGTCTACGATTTTAGTGTATTTGGTTGACCCTAGTTTCCTCAGTAGTAGACGAACTTTTTTCTCGTCTGACCAATTCCCGCAATCAAACTCATATGAATCTTCATATCTTCTGAAGTACGCCGCGAAGCTTTTGTCTTCGTCCGGTGCATAAGTGAAGTCTTTGATTGAGCTCCATATAGCATTTTGCGAGAATGCCGCTTTATTTTCAGAATTTTGTCCTTTATTTGTTACTGCCCGTAGTAGTAATTCTTGTAGTTCGAATTGCTTTTCTTCGATTTCTGTTGAATTTCCAATAGTTTTTCATCGAGCCTAGTCTGTCTTTCGGCATTCCTTTGTTGCTGCTCGAATTGCATTTTCATGAGTTCCAATATGGTTGCCTTAAAGTCTTCCATGTTTACACCGTAATTTAATAATAACACAGGCTATATGTTGTCACGAGAAGAGGAGGGAAAAAAACTCACTTTTTCCCCTTACTTTTTCTTTTCTCAATATGTACTTTGTAGCTAGTGTTGTGTACTGGTGTAATGATTTTTCTTTTTTTTCTCAGTGTAGACTTCAGGTCTTTGTCGTCTATTTGTTCTGAAACCTTGATGCGAAAAAAATTTCCTGCGTAGAATTATATTCTATTCTGGCTGACAGGTAAAATTTGTGTCTTCGTTACCACTGTTATGGTTGGTGTCCAAATAGTTTTTTTTTATTTTATCTTCGCGCAGAACTTGTTTTTTTTCTCAATATCTCCGTCGCCTCTGATATGGATGACCGATAGCAAAAAAGGTTTTTTTTTTTCTTTTTTTTTTTTTTCAGTATCCTCCGGGTAGAATTTGTTTGTTCAATATCCTCGTCGCCACT